TCATTTAAGTGTACTTAATTGTTGTCGATTAATACGTCTAACGTATAACAACTTTCAACGTATTATATCAACAGGATTCGTCGGACAAGTTTGTGACGTTTCAGAACATTTTCAAATCAGCTGTACTGCTTCCCTTGAAACAGTCAATACTCGAACAAACTGATGATCATCAATATGAAGTAAGTTCTCTTTTTAACCATGTTGGTATAGGACCTATCAAATGGAAACACAAGAGATTCTTTCAGCCTTCATAACTGCAGCTCAGGCAGAGCGCCGTTGCCTCCAGCAGGGCAAATGAGGGAGCAGATCTGGTGACGTGTGCTGCTACTGACAGTGACATGCCACTGGGCCGAGCAGATGCATTGTTGTGTCCAACATGAGACACAAAATTATTTTAATTAACAAGAAACATCGTTTTTGAGACATTTAAGAATTCATTGAAGGAACATTAAACTTACAAGATGGTTCTGCTATATTTAGTCAGTATAAAATTCGTTGTCAATGCAAAAATCGTGTATATTTCCTCTAATTTGTTTCTAGACAAGCTGCTTCACAGAAAACATCCCAATTCCCGAGCACAGTCGGTGGTAAAAATGCCAACCACATTTACTCTCCTGTTTTTAAATTGCTTTTCGGAGTCAATTCAAATTTTATAATACGTGCTCTTTGAAATAAACAACAGGAAGCTCGTGGGTCGAATAGTGTATAAGTGAAGTTTGTTTTTGGCAGCGTGGTCTGTCAAGCATTTTATTTCCGGGAATTCAATATGATTCTATGAACATTAAGTATTCTATATATGACTAGTCCACAGCAAGAATAAATTTTTCGTCTTTTCCGTTAAAAAAACTTTGAGAAATTTAATGAAATAATAAAATAAATGTACGTGATTTTATAGTATTTTCCGTTAAAAAAAACTTTAGACATTTTATGAAATCATAAATATATATATATGTGGGATGATGATTTGCATTGTATTAATAGAGAAAATGTATATAGCGGTTATATATCTTCTTCAGACTGTTCAAAGATGGTGTATCAGAACCCTTTGCTATTTTCAATGCAAATTTCATGCATGAGACATGACGAGCATCACCCCAGGACAGCATTAAAATCGTCCTTATTACACAGAATATTCTCTATAGTATGGACGGAGAATAAGGTTATGAGCATAGGCAATATTTATGACTCAGTTCATCCCAGTTTTAATGGCGGCAAGATAAATGCATAAATTGAGTCATATAACTGGCAGCTGGAATATAAATGCGTGTAATGTCAACAACAGGAAAGAATGTAAGTACGAGGTGTGATTTTCGTGAACAATTACCGGAACTGCAATAAAATCGCAGTCTTGAATATTAGAGCGGCAGGAAAAAGAAGGCCGTGTGACAGTCGCAAGCATTAGAGGACTGCGTCACAACGACATTCTTGTTAATATTGTCTATATTTATATGTATTATGTTTCGAATTCCTTTACCGAGCTAAATAAAAGAATGTCATTTTTAAGTTTGAGTGCCTAAAATAAATTAGTATTTTTCTCAACAATTGCTGTAATCACGAGATTTTATCAAAATATAGCCAGTATTTGGAAGGATCAAGCTCATCGAGTTAAAAAAAATGTAATACTTTATTGACGAAAATAAAGCTGTTTTTCAATAAAGTAGAAAACTCATTCAGGATATTAGCAATTGTTTACATTGTCGCTCTGTCGTCCTTGTTTACAAATTGTGAAGACGTTGTTGATGCCAGCGAAAAAAATCGTTGAGCTGTGACTAACGCCACCGCCGATTGTTGCTTTAGAAGGCAAGAGCTCGCTAATAAAAATGAGGACCTCACTAATAAACCTTTGCTAGGCTCGCCAATAAAATAGGCCTCTTTTGTTGCTTCTGATCCCTTGTAAAAAAAATTCCGCTTGAGTTCCGCCAAGTGGAGGTATGCAAGCAAGGGTGGATGTGTGCGAAAATTCCTCATTTTATTGCTCGACTCGCGGAGAAATAATTTGAATTGTTCTGAAAGCTTTAAAATAGGTCCGATAAGTGTAAAGTTTCAAATTATTTCATGGGCTCTGATTTCATTGTATCTATTTTAAAATTAATGACCTCAATTAATATGTTTATAAAAAATGAGATCTGTCTTTCGAAAATTATTTGAAATCTTGCATAAAAAATTATCATTTCAGGAATAAATCTTTTAAAAACAGTTATTGTTTTTGTTCCAAATTACAATTTTTTATTGGAGCTTTCAATTGAAATTATACCACTAATCACCGAAATGCAATCATGCAATTTCTCAACACGTTAAATTATTTTATGGATTTTCTCATAAAAATTATTCAAACTGTTATTAGGTCACAATTATATAAATGTAAATTTATATAATTGTTATATTATTTTATTATTATATAAAATATGTATATAATATATATATTTATATATTATATTATTACCGCTACCGCTTATATTATATATAAATTATATATTACCGCTTTCATCATTTATGGGCGAAAGCCATAAAAAAGTTATTTCTTGGAGCTGTGAAGTTTACATGGAACTTACCAAGCGTCCAGCGTTGAGTGGCTGGGGAAATAAAGTTCTGTGTTGTAATGGCATCTAAAGAGGAGAAGATTTCCATGGATTGAAATAATGGTGAAATTTGACTTGTTTAAGAGTAGGCTGAGAGGGAGACGAGGGTAGGCCTATTTAGGCCTCTGTGGGAACAAACATCTTGAGGGAACACTACAAGGGGAACAATTCAATGTTATATGTAATTCCCTTTCAAGTGGATCTTCAATCTTCAATCCACTTTTTTTAGTCAAAGTAATGTAAAATAACGGGCGTGGAAGAATGCTAAAATCGTTATTTGTTAACCTAAACTTCAGTATTCAATGACTGAAAATTTCAATATCAGTGAAAATACTTTAAGAGTTTTAAAGACAAATATTGGCTAACATCACTCGCCTAACATTTTTTGATTATCAATTTTTATATTAAAATTTTTTAAACGTTTCATGAGGACTTCATGTACAACATAAAGCTGTTTGACTTGAGAATCGAACCTGTTCAATATCACTGAAAACAATTGAATACGCAGGCTTTCTAGATAGGATCACGAGACCAAACGATATATTGTAGTAAGGTGCTATTGAAAAGTCATGAGTGCATTTCCATCGATTCACCCTGCAACTTTCCGGTACCCGTACTTCGGAAAAAAAATTTCTCACTCTGTACCTCCAAGTACACAACGATTCAAAGGACAGAGCGGATCTAAGCTACTGGAACAAATGTATTTTTTAGGACGACAGCAAAGAAAAAGGCAACAGTAGTTCGCGATGACCGTTTGATGGCGGTGATGTGACCGCAACCATTCACGCCTCACTCCATAAAAGCCTAATAACTCTGTTTGCCGAAGCCTCTAGTGTGTTGACCCAACCAACTTTAGCGGACACAAGCGACAACGTGGGTTAGTGATCTCATTCTGATGTAATTCCATAGGCCTCTTTTACGACAGACTATACGGATACTTTGATTGCTGTTCTGAGAACCAAAATGTTTGTCGATAAACTTGGATTCTTATTCCGACCGTTGGGCGTTCGATTATCACTTTGGGGCCGTAGACTAAACAGTAAAAATTTTGTTGGGCATATTTACCGGCAATAAAACTTACTATATTATAGCAGTGGAATTCCAAATTCGATTTTCAAAAAAAGCCTCATGTTCGATCTATCTGCACAGCGTTTGATATGTACTTGCATATATTTCTATACATCTGCATGTGTGTAAACGTATAAAAGTACAATAATTTCATCGTTTGCGTAATGAGGAAGCATTCGTACCTAGAACTCGTGCATTTATTCTAAGATTTGATTTACCTGTGCTTGAAAAATGACTTTGAAATTAAATTTTACTAATTTTTCCAAAAAAATGTGTCTCTCAGTACAGGTAGCAACACAGTATTTACGTTCTCGGCCAAACATTAAATAATTTATTATACGAATCAACTTTATGATCGTTGATAAAAACTTAAGAAATGTAAATTTAAGCACACAACTGACCACCAACTTCTAACGATAAATAATTTCAGAATTCATTACAGCCAAAGTCGATTTATGTTTTTTCTCGTTTCAAGGTCCATACCTGTGGTTAAGCCGGTAAGCGCTTATTGACCCGTTCAACTTCAGCCAGTGATGATCGTCTGATAAAATAAAATGTTCGTGACAAAGTTCCAAATTAGTTATGATTAAAAAGTTTTAAAGTTCACATAAATGCGTTTGTTTCCTATATATTTTTTTTATTGAGATAAGTTTTAATTTCTGTTCTTCAGTTACGCCTTCGTGTGAATTATATTTTTTTAAATGATTTCTGGATACTAATTTTGGAATTATATACTGTCATAATTGCGGAACAATGGGAACGATGATAAAGGATAACTAGTTCATCGTAATAAATGTAGCATAACATCGATTATCAATATTAAATGTCGCGCGAAAAATTAAATTCTGTACTAGTTCATGTTTAGAAGATAAGATTTTCATTCAAAATATAAAAATTCTAAACGATAAATTATAAAATTAACGAAGCCTTGCTTCTCTCAGAGAAGTAAGATTTCTTCACGAAAACACGTGTCATAAACGCACATACTCTGGAAAATAACGCAAGAAGTGCCTAGATATTTAAACAAAGTTCTCAATTTTTTTCTGAGTATGTGATGTTCATAACGTATTCCAACGATATTCATAATCTATGCATAGCATTGACCGAGCGTGATGGCTGTCCACACAGTCATTTGTTTTCGGACCGACCAATCACCGATCAGACATGAAGAAAAGATTATTTGCTGTCGATCAAGGTCAGGTATGAGAAGTTTTTTTTAACTCGCTGACTTTTTAATGTTTCAGATGATAAGTTCAGCTGCCCAGTCTCTGATTGACGCAGCTCAGTGTGCAGTGTTCACACTTAATCTCGTCATTGCTACCGTAGTGACGCAGAAGCTAGGGAGCTTGCCAGTTCTAGTCAAAAGGTTGTATGAAATAAGGCGAGTTTACAACGTTTACCAAGTAAGTTGAAGAGAAAGCCTTAAATACGATCATAATTTGTAACACGCTAGAATATTTTTCAAGAGTTCACGAAAGAAACAAATAGTTCATGCCTATATTTTTATTTGTCAAAGTTGGTGTTATTGCGTAACAGTTATTCTTCAGGGTCCAAAAATCCAAATTCAGCCGCTGTTCTGCATAAATTCTTTCAGTTTGTATTCACTTCGTTTTTGTGACTGGAAAAGCAATTCATTAAGTTTTCACACGATTTTAGTGAACTGAAGCTCTTCGGTAGCTTTTCAGTGTTTGGAACATGTTTCTAAATATTATTAATTATTCTGTGACCACACAAATTCCTGCCATTCAACTCAATCATTAATTTCAGAGCAGTGAGACATCGACTTGATTATCAATTATTGCGACTAGCGTTCCATCACTGTTTCGGCTGAATCAATAAATTAATAAACAATTAAATTACGATTACACCATCAGATATATCAGACCATAGCGCCTTTTGAACCTAAACTGTTATCTACTAAAATGAGTATTAGTATAGTATAGTATAGTATCTTCGGCATTGAGGAATAGGCCTGGATAGGCCTGTCACCGATTCTTGTACTTTTCTTGACTAGTTCGCAGATCTAAAAAACTGGCCATTTAATCAAATGTTTTCAACGAACGGTAGGTTTAAAATCGTTTCTAGATTTTAGAGTATTCTTATTATATAAAATTTCACAATGTTTGTGCGTCATGGAGTTTTCTGTCTTCACTATGAAATTTTACCCTGTAATTTCTTCGAAATCATTTAATAACCACAGAAGCACTCATACTTACCTTATATGTTCCTAGTGATGTGAAGATTTTGTTTCCAAAACTCATCTGATCAATCAAAGCTTCGTGACTTCCTCTATTATGAATATTGGATAGTTCTTCTTCTCTTCCTCCTATACATATTCTTTCAGCATTTCAGTGGAAGATTTTTGTATACCGCCTTGTTTTTATTCAGAATTATTATGGAATCTTAATTGATAATAATTCCACTTTCATTTTTTATTACTATTAACATAAATTATTCTAAATCAGTGGTGAAATTTATCAGAAATTAGCGGTAAAAGCCTGTGACTGGATTACTTTTCCTCTCATTCCTTTTGACCAGCCGGCATGAAAATCTGCCGGGAGTCGCTGCGGTGTTTGCTGGTCGTCGTGGCGGCCACCGAGGCGGTCGTCATAACGATACGCGGCGCCGAGACAGAGGTGCAGGTGCGGGGACTGGCCGTGAACAACAGTGCACCGCACCAGAAACTTTCCGCTAAAACTCTGTGTGAGTTGAAAATGATATTCATTTTCCAAAAGTTATAATTCATGAACCTAATATAAGTTAACTGTAGTTTACTTTGACCGCTTGGTGCGAAATAACTAAGTTTTTTTATTTAACAAAATAAGTTTTTTTTTTTGCCTAAATTGCCTAATGGCAATTGGTGAATAACCTTCTTCCCTTATATAGCCCTAAACCGCGTCCAAAGTATATAAACAAGTAATATTTTCATCGATGTATGCATTAAGCATGAGCTACAACTGCAGCAAGGAATGTTTAACTTTCTATCCTGAGCAATTTTGATAATTAAATATAATTATTTAGTGTAGACTTCAGTGTAGAATTGAACTACATATTCAAGTGTAGACTTGAACTGCTAGCCAGGCGGATACCACATACTGATGTATACGCTTGTTAAAAAGTTTCACACTCAACATATCGATTATAAGCGCTCCAATGAAAACTAACTTTTGTGACGTGGAATGTCGGCCGGTTGAAAACTTGAGAATTCATGCTTTATGGACATTAAAATGTTTGTAATATCGCGAATAAATAAATAATATTTATTTCTAATGAATACTATTTTTTTACCTGAGTGAACACACGAGAGAACATGTAGTATTAATGCTTCATTTATTGATTCTCATCTCTTTTCGTGCGCCACTCGTAGCCAGTGTAACATTAGAGTGATTTCCTTCATCTGAGGAAAAGAATTTATGAGCGAAATTGACCATGAAAAAAAGTAACAGCGTTGTCCGGGCTTAATAATTCCAGTTATTTTTTAATCGCGATCCGCTCTTTCCCATTATCCCAAATTCTGTTTCTAATTATAATATGGCTTGTGAATAAATACACCTTCAATCCACATGTTATATGAAAATTGGGCTCTATTTTACTCTCGTCTTATCAATTAAATTCTCAATTAATCAAATTTATAACTACAAACAGTAAAAACAAATTTCAATTTTCATCTGATTTTCTCCAATCTTTTCTTATTCTCCCACTGAGAATGAAATTTCAGTTTCTGGTAATTTCCAGGCACGATTAGATTTGTGGATTCACGCCTGAAACGCCCCTATATATTAATAGTGCCAGGCAACAAACACAGCCACGAACATACCCGCATACGCTGAACATTCTATTCATGCGCTCACGTTTGATTCGTACGTTTACATTCGATTCGTGCGCAGGCTGACAAACAAATATAAAATTCTGCCATTCTCATACATAATATTTTTGCCTCCTTCTCCCCAGGCCAGTGCCGCCAAGCATGTCGCGCGTGGCCGCCGTGTTTGAGTTTCTCCTACAAAGCCGCCAGCAGCGAGTGTCGTCTGCTGGTGGGCGACCGCCTCACCAACACTGAGGAGGATCCTGACGCCGTCTACCACTACCGCTACACCGCAATCAGCAGTGGTAATGCAGTGCAAGTAATAATGATTGAAATCGTTTTTTAGGAACGCTCTCATGAATTTTTATGTTATTTAAGAAAATATATATTTGTTATAAATGGTTATTTTGCTTTAACTGTTCTTATTTGATATTTATGTGTCTCCCCGAGCTGTGAGGTTTTCACACAATCGACAGGGAGTTAATCAATGAAATAATCTAGGAAGCTTTTTTTTAATTTATCAAACAAAATTTTGAGTTTGAGTTCGAATGATTTATCTTCATAGTAATGGCGAAAATATTTAGTCAATAAGAACCGAATCCAATAGTGCAATCTTCAGTACATGGAGCACATGATGATGAGGATGAAGATGGCGGGTTGGTCACTCGATGAAAGAAAGTGGTGACGAATGCGTAGCGTACAAATAATGTTAACCCGGACAGTCTCATGATCGGATTAAGGTATACTGTGACGAAATAAATTTAAATTATAAATCTTGATAAAAATGCCCAATTCAACAAATTATTGTTTAAATAAATGATCAAAATTTCACTTTTGCACTGAAAACACTACGAACCTGAGGTTAAAATGCCCAGTGTGGTGATCACTTTATGACGGAAGAATAATTTGAGAAAAATAGCGGAAATCAGTTCAAGGGGTGGGAAGTTGGACGGGAAAAATAGCAAGCACAGTAGAAGGTTTTGATGCTTTAGAAATTTGAGATAAAGACTTAAGACTAAGGTTTAAATAATGATCTTCGCATGTAACGTACAGAAAATAACGCACTTCTAGAGCGAAGAACATTAAATAAGGATTGATTTTGATTTGATTTGGTAGAATTAGTATTTTAATTTAAAGCATGAAATTTGAATACATTTGATTGTATCCTTAAACTAAGTCCAACTACCCAACAGATTAAATAAATGAATTCATAAGCGAAAAAAAAAAAATAAAACGAAATTCACACGACATTCATACAAAACAAGGGATAGAGAAACAGGTTTATAGCAAGATGTAAGAACTTTGACTGCGGTAACTTGTCACCGGTTCAAAAAACGCAGTTATGTTTTGAACTAAAAGCAATGAATTGCATAGAGATTTGTACACAGCGATAACTTTGGACTGGCACTGTCGGCAAATATATTTTGACGCAATTGGTTACTGATGATGATGAAGACCCTCCAAGACCAGCGGAAGAACCCCTGATCGCGACTAAATACTTTTTCTCCAGATGACGTTAGAGAAGCGAAATCAACAGCAATTCTAAGCTAACAATAGATCACATAAATAAACCCTAGCATACATACAAATTGAGGGTGAGAAATTAGGAGTTTCTCACAGAGCTTCTAGAAAAAATTTTCAAGTATCATTCTGTAACGTGAATTTTAGAAACAGTTCATTCATGCTTCAATTTCACTCTATCATTGCGATCAATTGATTATTTAAATCATAAAAAAATACTGATGCTTGATTTTCTACACACAAAAATAATCCGGCCACCGCGCTCAGTTACTGTAGTTCAGAAGGTGTTGCACTTCACACCGAAGCACATCAGATCAATTTGCGTACAACTATATTTAGAAACTATATTTAGAAACTGAAATCCCAAGCGGATATAAAGATAGACAAAAGAAATAACCATAAAGGTATCAGTATTTTAGTATCCATTTGATCAGCAGTGCGAAATCACGGCGGCAAGCGACATCCCAGCAATCGATGAAAATTTTGCAATTTTGATTCCACTTTTGGTCATGCAAAGTGATAATTTCTAAATACCTGCTCAATTTCAAGCAAGAACCGAGCTTTAATAATGCCTATTACTCATATTTACTTCATGTACATAATAAATCAAGTTTACAACTACATTTTCTGCGTTTCAATTATTTTATAGGTACTTTTATCGTAAACCCAGTTAATGAAACCCTTTTATCTATTTCATTGCCATTTTTGAATTGTATCATAATGGTTTTTACTTGAATATTTAAATTAGAGATCAGGAATAAATGCGGAATGAAGGCAACCATCTTTTTTTTATTTCAGTTGCTATTAGGAATGTTCAAAAAAAGTTTAGCAAGCTCTCGACACGTGCGGCTAATCCCAGGAGCGCGTGCTGTAATACAAAATTTATATTAGTTCCCTATTTATAGTCGCAGTTAGCGGAAAATATATACTTTTACAGTTCCATCTGCGGTCCTGAGCAAAGACATCGTCCGGCTGGCTGACGGCCTCTACTACTTCTACCAGACCACAACCAACCTCTACTCTGCCGCCAAGAACGTGTGTGAGGAATGGCCAGGCTTCCACTTGCCCGTCATCATCACGCAGACTCAGCACACCGCCATCGTCGGAAGCTCCTTCTACAAAAAACTCGGTTAACGAAATTGCATGATAAGCACGAAACAGATAAGATCGCATCAAGCAATAGGAAAAAATAGGACGCTAGGCAAGAAAATCGGAAACGAAGAAAATGACTTTTATAATGACTTTTATATACTTTTTTTAAAGAAAGAAAGAAAGACTGCATGAGTACGAGATAAATTACTGAGCTCGAAATAAATAACCAGGCACGAGGTAAACAAGTAAGAATGAGATTTAAGAACTGGATACGAGGTTAACAACGGAACCGGAGACGAACACCTGAACACATTTACAACACTAGATTGAACGTCAGTTTGCCGGATTTTAACTTAACATGTTTAACCCCTATCAAAATTTTGATTCCTGTCAGCCGCTGGCTCAAGGACGCCCCAAGCTCGCCTTGCGGTGTAAATTAGCGGCTCTATGTCTGCTTTAGGTTCTGGTTGTACAAGGGATTTAATCACCTGATTAGGATCCGGCAAATTCCCTGACAACCGTGGGGTGACTGCGGGGCGCTCGTATTTGGTACCTGATAAGTTCGGGACAGACACGGCCGAATCTGGAGAATGTGTTAAAAAATGCCCTCTCCCTTCTCCACTTTATGGGGAGAAGGGAGGAGGCATTTTTAAGTGTTGTACGTTATATATTTATATGAGCAGACTAGACAAGTATCATCGCGGCACAATGAAGCAAGTTGCAAGTAAACGCGAGTTTGAAACGGGAATAATATCAGTTAATCCAACTTGCAACCCAAACTTTCCACATTACCCACGACATTCTCTTATATTTACCATAAAGTAAGATCCTCTCACATTGCCCGAGCAAAACAATCTTCAATATTCACCAGCAATCAGCATTCTCACACATTGCCAAAAACCAAACATTATCCATTATGCAAAATCGCTCAACTATCAACATACTCCAATATTCAACACCGCTCAATATTATCCCACATCATCCATGTACGAAACATTCTACACATTTACCCGTACCAAACACTCCTACCTATTGCGGTACTAGCGATGCCAAACATTCTCCACGTATGGCAGAGCAAAACATTATCTCACCTTAACCAGTATTGAACCTTCTCCCATATTCGCCAGTACCAAATATTCACATATACTGTCAAGCATTCTCCCGCAATAATCAGTTGAATCAGTCCTCAAAATTCTCCCATCATATTAGCAAACAACAGCCTTTTGTACCTACAGAGCTTAATGTTAATTCTAACCATTCCAACATAGCGCAGATTCAATATAGGCTAGTAGCCAAATCCTGTTTCCAGGTATGAAGTACCTAAAATATTGTGAAATTATTCGCGGTAAGGCAATTTTTTCCAATCCTGTGTACCTAAAACTCTCGAAATACACACGCGCAAAACATCCTCTTACATTAACCAGTATCAAACATTCTCTCATTAATCTCAAATTCACCAGTATCAGTTATCTGGCATTCATCACTACCAAACATTCTCCATTCAAAAAGTAAAAAAAAATTCTTCCAATTCACCAGTCAGTACCATTCTCCCACTTACAATAAGAATTAAACATTCCATCACTTAAACACCAGTACCACTCATTTTCACGCAATAATCAGTCCTGTAACTCAAAGTTTTCTAACAACATTCACAACTTCACAAGACACAGTCAAGTGTATCTACAAGACTCAATTTTAATGCAGGGCTCAATTTTAATCCAATTCATAATAATAGTTTGATTTCACACAAGAGAGTTCACAATAACGGAACGGTTCTTACAAATGTGCTTTTTCTTTGTAACCCTGTTGGAACGTGTACCGTCATCAGCCAGCTGTCCGACGACCAGTTGGTAAGGTTGCTAGGCGCCACTACTTAACTTGCGCACGCAACGTTAATGGACTTGACGAATCTAAGCTTTCGGTTCCACAGTCCACAAACGACCCTGATGTCTTGGTTGGTGAATCAGAAATTATAACCTCGAGTTTTAAAACACGAGCAGCTGAATAACACGTTCGTGTCAATATACCCAAGTTAAAATTTTCTGCTAAAAAATGCCAGCAAAAATCTTGAAGCTCGATTATGTGTTCTTAAATGTCGTCCTTACCGGTATTGCAACCGCCCAAGAACTTCACTTCAGGAGGCACTGGACATTAAACACTTGGGAAGTTGTGTTTCAAAAGATTCCTAGATTAACATAGTATAGTATCTTCGGCATTAAATAAATAGGCCTGTTGCCGATTCTTGTACTTTTCTTGACTAGACTGGCCTTACGGACGGTAGATTTAAAATCACTTCTAGATATCAGATGTTCCGTAGGGTACGAGGCATTTTAAGACTGAACATATGCTCATGCATGGCCTTGTCTAGTCTGTTCTTGAACGCGTTCATACTCGGAGCGTCAACTATATCTTCAGGGAGGCTGTTCCACATGTCAGTGACTCGAAGCGAGAAGAAATGTTGTCGCGTGGATAAGTTGAACCGCAGTTTTTTTAGTTTATAGCTGTGGCCCCTGGTGTTGGTTCTTGTTTCAAATTCTAGTAATCCTTCTGTGACCTTGTACAAACCATGAGTATACTTGTGTACTTCAATGAGGTCATCACGCAGGCAACGATAACGGAGACTGGGAAGCTTCATAATCTTCCATCTTTCTTCATAAGACTTGCCCTTTAATCCTGGTATTATCCTTGTTGCACGTCTTTGAACGCTCTCAACTAAATTTTTGTCCTTTTCAAGTCTCGGTGACCACACAACGTTTCCAAACTCTAGGTTTGGGCGCACGACAGAGGTGAACAACAGCTTCATCATTTCTGTATCTAGGTACTACACTGGCACCCTTTCATCCAGCAGGCGAGTCCAATTATTCAAGGTAGACAGGAGATTAGTGGTGCATGATCTGCCAGCAATAAAGCCATGCTGACAGTCTGATAGAAGATGGTTAACAGTCAAGTGATCTATAATCCTATCCCTCATAACCGATTCCATCACCTTACATGTTCAGCCTTAAGAAACTTTATTGTTTTCTATTAGCCTGCATCGCCATTTACACTAAGGATACACGATAGAAACGAAAAGCATGTCTAATTATCATCCACACACGACGAAATGCACCAAACTACTGACAGTTTGACACATGAGCGTCGGGGGTAGTGGGGGTTAGTGGGTACCCCCACCTTTGAACAGGGAGTATTTTGTGGGTTGTTTGTCAGTCTTGCCTCGAAAGCGAGGGTTTTGAAGCCTTGTGTGTAATTGTAATTTGCGCGTGTTGCCGCAAAAACAATACACGCTTGTTGCTGGAACACAACGCACATGTGTAGACATGGAAGTAACACAAGCGTGTTCAAGATAACGCAATGCACGCGTGTTGTTGTACATATTCGCACATCGCAAGCGTGTTAACAGAAAAGCAATGTTCGCGTTAGATCGCGTATTGAAGATAACTCTGTTCACGCTTGCGCTGCTGAAAACGCGTATAGGCGATCACTAGTAGCAACCCTATTGACATAAAAGTAACGCAAGCGTGTTGACGATAACGCAATGTTCACGAGTTTTTCTATGCATACGCAAAGCACGCACGTTGACAGACACGCATTGCACGCTTGATGAATCTCACACACCTCTCGCGTGCGCAACACGCACTCGATGCAAGCATGTTGAACTTAACGCAACGCAAGCATGTTGCCGTACACGCAATGCAAGAGTGTTGAAACACTCGCGTGTTGATAAGTTCGTACCCATGCACAATGCACATGCAGCGTCAGGACTTGGCAGGGGCTTATCACGCTAGTTCTAAGAACTTATGCCAGCTACTGATCAGGGTAAGCCAATGGTGGCCTGACCAGCCGCTGATTTCATGTGTCATTTGACCCTAATATTTTTTACCATGGAACTACACAAAATAGCTTCTATTGGCGGCTGAATTGGGAAGGCGGCCATTTCACACACGATTCAGCTCAAAGGCGAGAGTGCAAACCGAAAAACGAACGACAGCTACTTCTGAATTTTGACAGGGACTTTTGTCTCGGTTAACGTTTACACATTAGTTAGACTTAAGCTGAAATATTTGACCTAGCTCAGAAACTACCTAGGCGATCACGGAAAAGTGATATTTGTTACGATATTTTATAATATTTGTGTTTAATTTTAAACTTTAAAACTTTAATCTGCAGGCCCCTTCCATCTCGGTCTTAGCGGGATTGCTTCTACGGGCTACACTTGGGCGAATGGCATGGACTTCACAAAGACAACCAAGGTCAACTTTGGCAAGACCGTCATTGAAAACGATGATTATCCCAACAAGCACTACCACATGTGGGATGGAGACTTTTGTGACTGCCCAAATGATTGGAATCAAGCGGTGTACTGTCAAGCAAACCTAGATCAAATTCCTTGGAATTGATTAACTGGCTACGAAAACATTGGCTTTTTCAAATGATGCATCCAATGACCGAGAAGCCAAAATAAGCACGGTTTATGGATTTTAAAAATTAGAGGATCGATACGCAAATGCATCTATCGTCCTCGCGATTGCCATTGCACTATATCAATAGACCCTAAATTATTTTATCTAATGCAGAGTGGTTCATGCTTTTCTCTACGAATCTGCATGTTGCGGGAAACTTGTCAATTGATGAATTTTAATTACCGAACGGAATTTATTGCCTTAGGCAATGTCAGGGACAATCGTTAAGAAATTATGTAAGAATAAAATCAATACATTCGTACAACAAATAACGATGCCTACAATAACAGTTTAAGCTTTGTTAAAGTTTTCTGTAATATATTACATGCTCAGCACCTAAACTACTGCGACTCTCACTGTAGTTATTATGCTTCTGAATATAACTCCAGAAGACAGTTGCCTCTTTCTTTCCTTTCATACCAAAATTATCGCCCAAATAAACTACTAAATTAAATTTTACCAGTTCTTAGTTCGACCGCACTAATTTTTCCGATGAATTAGACCTAGAGCTGAAAATTTGCCACAAATAAATGTCACTAATTTAATATGAAATCCTATCGTTAGAAATGTTTCATTTCATGCCTCGATCTCATGGTGTATTTTTCAACAACTTAACTAGGATTTCAAAATAATATAGATGTTGTTCACATGAAGAAAGTATGAATTTTTAGCAAATTTGGTTTCTGTTCGAAACTAAATTTAAAGTAGAGAAAACAATTTTTTCGGATTAGACATTATTTCTCATTGGAAACATTATTGCATCTCGATCAATCATGATAGGTTAAATGTCTCGTATTTCCTCAAGTTTATCAAAAGTTTTATAGGAGTAAAGCCTATAATAACTATACTGCACGAAAATATATATGAATAAAACATCAATATTAACAACATCAAACCAGAAAGCCAGCAATTCATTTGCCTAAATTCATACCTATAACAGGCTCCTGACCACAAACTTCACACGACGAATAAGTTCATTTTTCATTGAGGCCAAACAGTTACTGAATAGTCTTCGTCGTTCGGCAACATCCATATGCAGAGTTAATTTTGTTGCGTGCCTACTTAGCGTTGTTGAACTCTATATAGAGGCAGATTTATTGGCACTTCTTTCAAATTCAATATTAGTGACGAATGTTTTTAATCCATTCTCAGTTGATTTTTCTTTCACATTCGAGAATGTTTATTTATTTCTGAGTATATTATTGATAATTAATATATAATAATTAATTTGGTCATTAGAGTATATGTAGTATTTACAAATCACTGACAAGTAAACAGTGCAAGTCATTCGCTATCTATCGATCAGCGTCAGCAAGAAGAAGTTTTTTAAGTCTCTGACTTCCTATAATGTTTCATACGTTGATCAATTGCGCGGCGCGATCTTATAACAACTCCACCCACGTTAAGTGTTATACAAGGCATGTGAACTGCAACGTCAATGCTATAGAGATGTGCAAGGTATTAACAAGCTCTCATGTTCGAGTCCGGGAAGGCTCGGTTGGTTTGCTTCCTAAATTTACTTAATAAGGTGAAGAGACTGCCTCTGATATGCTATTTGTAATTTTTAACGCACGAGTAGTATATTCAGACTAAATATTTTACATTGATTCAGTTGCGTAGGTGTAGCTTAATATTGTTCTTCTGTGGTGGTTTCACTGTATTGTGAAAAATGCCTACAAACCGAATTCTCAGTAGAAAATTCTTACTATTTAGAATCCCATGACATGAACGAATGAACAATTTCTTCAATTTTTGCACCATTTTTGCTCACCGACGTTCCACACATTTCATGTTTTTTTATTAATTTCTGGTCTATATATTGCAAAACATCTTTTAAAATATCAGTCCTTATTCTGTATCCGCATTAATTCCTGTCACTGGAGTTGTTGATGAATGTCCGACCGGTGAGACATCGATGAGAGTGAGCAATCATTACGGCAATCGTTCTACTGCTATTCCGGCTAAATTACCCAATTAACTCACTCTGTATCCTTTGAATTTTTTAACGATTGCGAATGATGACTGTAATGTTTCTATTCGTTCAAGTTTAAACAGACGAGTTTATCGATTCATTGACGGTAACTTCCGATGAATTTTTAGGTTTATTCAGGCTTGGTCCAAGTTACAAGTTTACTAAGTAGAACAGCAGAACAGAGGAGGAATGTTCTCCTATAAATAAACACGCATTTCTTTAAATTAATTGGACACTAATTACTAGATTAGTACACAATATTCTAAACATATTCTCACAGTTATTCTATTGCAATTTAGAAAACCTAGACGCTTACCAAGAGCAAGAAGACAAGCGGCTGGCTTTAGTAAGAATCAACGAATGGCCAAATCGTAAGACAAGTCCTTCCAATACTTTAGTTGATGTTGCCCAAACATCTGCTTCAAAATCCCTAAACTAAATTCATTACAATGACAAATTATTTCCAACCGCTGTGTCATTTTGAATCTAGTCAACTCATTGTGACCCGTGTGAGGTGTGAATGTGTGAACAGTTTTCACATCAATTTTGTTCGTATGCTTCCTCCTTCAAATCTTATTCTCAAGCCATTTCATTTGAAGAAATACTTTCAGCACCGTGTTAGTTTTTTTCAACAACACTACAACACTTTTCGAAATAATGGTGAAAAAATTGTCAGACCGCGTTCTAGCTGCCGGCCGCCCCATGAAAATTAAGTTTAATGTTGTCCTACATTTAATGAGCCAGTATTTAACTTTGAAGTTGAAATATCCTACCGGCGATCAATAACACAGAAACCAGCCGGCATGAAAATCTGCCGGGAGTCGCTGCGGTGTTTGCTGGTCGTCGTGGCGGCCACCGAGGCGGTCGTCATAACGATGCGCGGCGCCGAGACGGAGGTGCAGGTGCGGGGACTGGCCGTGAACGCCATTATGAATTTAAGAGCTCTTTCATGATTGCCTGGAAAACTGGAAACAAACCGTGTACTGTCAAGCGAATATAGATCAAGTTCCTTGGAACTGATTAATTGGCTACTAGAGACGAACACTCAGATGCAAGTCATGCAACAACCAGTGATCGTGATGTTGATATGCACAACTATTCGTGGTGTTTGATTATTTGAATTTCCGTGTTACTCTCGCTTTCCGTGTTATTTTTGTTGTGGTTCCCACACCATAATTGACGTAGACTAGTAATAATTATTAAGAATTTAGGGTCTGAATAAATTGTATTATTCAAAGTGAACTGGCCAAATGGTTCTCCACAAAAAGACTTCTTGAGGCCATATTTTCGATAGCGGAGTCAGTCAATCGTCTGCTCTCACCTGTGCCAGTGGCCCTGTTCATATGTGCTCTTCCGTTCAATTATACGTTTGCATTGTTATATGACTTTCATGATTCGCATGTATTTACAGTTAAAGAACCCAAAGAAAAGGTGTCCTTATTTATCCTTCGTGTACTGCCGACTGTAGATCACTTAGGCTTTGTGTGGTGGTTACCGCGCAGAAATTGCGGTAGTGCGGAAGCCACGACATTTTACTCGCTATATCTAGTTATATGGTTGCCAGAATTTCATCAGAAATTGATTGAGTAGCTCTCATGGCGGGCTGCTCTAGCGCAATATTCCAACTTTCCGATAGCAAGTATGACAAGTTTTTTGAGAAATTTTATTTAATAGCAGCGAGGCAATGTTTCCTTCAGAGTATTGCGAATCGCCGACTAAAGAAAATATTAGATACTAATTAACTACAATTTTTCTTCGCATTACCAATGTAATATTTGGTTTTTCCTTTCACTCAATCTCACTTTTTTGCTCATGAATATCTTGAATCTAGCTGCAATTATAGCAGCTTTCAAGTTTTAGCAGAGTTTTTACATTCTATTTAATTTTTCTGCCGGGGAATTTTGCGTGATTGTAGCATTTTACTTTCATCATTTTTCAATGTAAAATAATAATTTTATCTTCTAAGATATTTCAATGTTGTAGTAGACATATTTTTTGCATTATATTTACAAATTCCTGCTGAATAAAGTGAATTTTCAAATAACAAATGTGTAGCGGCAGCTTCGAGGCATCTCGTGTAGCATTTGCTTATTATGAGTGGTTTTCAGCATCACTCCGTCTCCACGCGTTACTTTTGATCTCTACGCAGACGAGTACGGTATGGTGCGGAGATGCTGAGCATTTGTCATGTNTTGTTGTGGTTCCCACACCATAATTGACGTAGACTAGTAATAATTATTAAGAATTTAGGGTCTGAATAAATTGTATTATTCAAAGTGAACTGGCCAAATGGTTCTCCACAAAAAGACTTCTTGAGGCCATATTTTCGATAGCGGAGTCAGTCAATCGTCTGCTCTCACCTGTGCCAGTGGCCCTGTTCATATGTGCTCTTCCGTTCAATTATACGTTTGCATTGTTATATGACTTTCATGATTCGCATGTATTTACAGTTAAAGAACCCAAAGAAAAGGTGTCCTTATTTATCCTTCGTGTACTGCCGACTGTAGATCACTTAGGCTTTGTGTGGTGGTTACCGCGCAGAAATTGCGGTAGTGCGGAAGCCACGACATTTTACTCGCTATATCTAGTTATATGGTTGCCAGAATTTCATCAGAAATTGATTGAGTAGCTCTCATGGCGGGCTGCTCTAGCGCAATATTCCAACTTTCCGATAGCAAGTATGACAAGTTTTTTGAGAAATTTTATTTAATAGCAGCGAGGCAATGTTTCCTTCAGAGTATTGCGAATCGCCGACTAAAGAAAATATTAGATACTAATTAACTACAATTTTTCTTCGCATTACCAATGTAATATTTGGTTTTTCCTTTCACTCAATCTCACTTTTTTGCTCATGAATATCTTGAATCTAGCTGCAATTATAGCAGCTTTCAAGTTTTAGCAGAGTTTTTACATTCTATTTAATTTTTCTGCCGGGGAATTTTGCGTGATTGTAGCATTTTACTTTCATCATTTTTCAATGTAAAATAATAATTTTATCTTCTAAGATATTTCAATGTTGTAGTAGACATATTTTTTGCATTATATTTACAAATTCCTGCTGAATAAAGTGAATTTTCAAATAACAAATGTGTAGCGGCAGCTTCGAGGCATCTCGTGTAGCATTTGCTTATTATGAGTGGTTTTCAGCATCACTCCGTCTCCACGCGTCACTTTTGATCTCGACGCAGACCAGTACCGTATGGTGCGGGGATGCAGAGCATTTGTCATATTGTTATTTTGTCTAATTTAAATTGTAGTAGGATTTATCATTATACGTAATTGCATTTTAAGTTTTTGCAGACCTGGATGCAAAATAATTTCAACCTGCGGCATTAGGCCTGTGACTTTAGCTTGAAGCCTGTTTTGCGAACATTTGCTAAATTTGTTGGT